GACAGCGCCGGGCTGCCACCGAAAACCTGAAAGCGGTTCTGATTTTCTGATTTTGGAAGCTGATGTGGAGCCGGCGAATAAAGAGGCAAATAGCAAGAGTGACGTGGCCTTTGCAAAGTACCGTCACGCTGCCGTAATGATTTCGTCAGACGGAAAATTTACACAGAAATACAGTCTCCGCTGGCTCATTTTACATACACGGTACTGCTGAGAACGGCTTCCTGTAAGAACAGGAATAGTTATTTTAACACAGCAAAATTAGTATGATAAAATTTTTCATTTTCGCATTTTAAATATTTTTGTTTCTTCAAATATATTAGAACCTTTTTTGGAGGGGGAGGTTTTTAGTCATTTACAATAGGAATTAGCTGTATTAAAGAGGAAGTGATGACATTTTTCAAGCAGGTATGATCCCAAATCATCGATCAAACGACACGTGATAAATCGAGACCTTCAGAAATGCATGTTAAAGGAGTGCATCACGCTTTCTCACCGTTATCAAGGCAGAGATTCAGGAATCCACATCTGATCACAATTAGTGACTAGATAAGATTCCAGCCCCTCACACAGCTTTACCTGTTAGTGGCATCTTCAGACTTAGCAACGGAAATTCAGTCCAAATTGAGCATGCAGCATACAGACACAAAAAGCTTTTTTCCCCTAAAAATAGCCTCTGCGATGCTTTCAGTGTCTGTGCGTATTTGCCTAATGGCACAGGCTATCAGTGCGTCACGGGATGATCTAGTGGGCTGACACTAAGGTCAAGATCCACACACCTGGGTTCCCATCCACGCTCGCCCACTGATTGCGGCATGGCTCAAGTGCGTTACGTTTTCTGCCTCAGTTTACCCACCTGCAAGACAAAAACCACTCTGATTTACCTCACAGGCATGCTTCTAACCTGAAAGTTTCTACAATTAGTAATAAAATGTGTATTTACGCTACTTCTTTTTACTCCTTCAGCTTCTGCAGAGAGAATACAGCTAGACACAAGACAGCAACCACGGTTCTAACTCATCTAACACATCATTTCCATTATCAACCAAGTTCCCTACTTCCTCCTTATTTCTAAACTAGTTCAGCTCTACTGAAGAACACAGGGCTTGTAATAGGGCAGAACTTGGCCTACAAAACCCTCTTTGACAGTGATAATATTCAAAAAAGAATAAATGTGGTCTGATAAACATGGTGAAAAACATTTTGGCTCTCTACACCAAACACTGCTTCAGGATGTGATGAGAAAAGAGGACGGTAAGGGGTTTGTCGTCCCTTACCAGCGATGCCTGGTGCCAGCACACGCTCTGGATCCCCAACAGTGGGATCAGCTGCCCAGTCCTGCGTTTCCCCTTGCCATGCCTCCTGACACCTACCAGCCACATTAGAGGACATTCAAAAATGTAAAGCGGCACACAAGAGCTATTAAATGTTTTGCTTGTCATTAAAAAAAGTCCGTTTCATACAGGAGCCTGATTCTGTATGCCTGACACCCAGTGAAACAGAGCCAAAGCCAGAATTTGATGTTAAACTCCAAAGACCATAAAAGGGGATGCTGCCAATACGCGACATGCTTTTCCTTCCAGTTTTCTTATAGGAACTCATGTGATTTCCCCATCCCAAACTCCAAACAGAAAACCAAACGGAATTCAAGTCAGCAGCCCTTTGCTGAGGAGTTAGTGCTGCAAGAAGAGTAGCAGGAAAGGAGATACCAGTTTTCTAAGTTTTTAAGAATGACTGTCAGCAATAAAGATCAAAATAAATTTAAAAGATTAATACTTAGCATTTATATTGTGCTTTGCTGTTTAAAAGCCCCTGACAACCACGAGGCCCTGTATGGCCAAGGGCCACAACTTCCCTCAGATCCATGAGGGTTTGTGGCACTTTGATGGTGCACATCGATGCCCGCTGACCAGAAATGGGAACTGTGGGCATCTGATGCATTTTAACTTACGACCTGTTTTACCCCCTCCCTCATGCAAACCCACAGACTCCAGCAGCACTAGTCCTGTCAGCTATGATGCCTAATATTGGACCATCGATACTGCAGTAACAATAATGATGAATACTGCTGCAAAACCAGGAGACCGGCAAAATTTATATAGGCAGGACCATATCCACTAACTGACTGATTATCACAATTGCTCCAGAAAACAGCTTCATGAGACTCTTAAATAAAATCACATTTATTTTGTCTGGTCTGGCTTCCAGCGTTGGCTTTTTGTTGTTTTGTTTTTATTCTTAAATGGGGTGGCCTTTAAAAATGTCTTTGTAAACTGAGTCTCCCAAATGTCACTTCAGCCCTGAATATCTGCTAGCCAGATATGCCAATTTTGTTGCATGTTGTATAGAATAAAGAAAAATACATTCCACATTTTCAAAAAAAGGAAAAGAGGACTCTAATTTATCATATTGCAGTGATTCAACACATAAAAAAAGTAAAATTCAGGAAAGACGATGACACATTACTGCCTATATGCTTTCATGTAAAACTTTCTATTCTACAACCTTGTATCTTTTATTAAAATATGGACACCTAAAACAGGAAAAAAAATAATTTAAATTTTATTTTGTTCTCTTGACCACCAATTTTCTCCTAGTAGGAAAAAAGACTGCTACCTATTTTCCATAAAAAAACCTTTGTAGCAGTCCCATAGGAAAAGTCAAAAGTTTGACTTGAAAAATGGAGCTACTTCAAAAGCATTGTCAAACAGAGGTGAAGGTTTCTTAAAAATGCATAAATTAAAGTACGGTGTTTTCATAAATATCTCTGTAACTTTACAAAGTATAGTTGTGATTGAGGTGCACGTATAGGGGAACATACAGCATTGTTATAAATCTCACTTAAATAAAGTAGAAAATCAATTTGTTTATTAGCTGCTGTTTGGGCTGTGCGTGTGCATGTGTGTGCGCGTGTGTGAAAAATGAAAGAAAAATGGAGAGTTTTTTTCAATAATAAAAAGGGAGTTGCACTGCAGGGCCCCTAAAGCTTGTGAAAAATTAAACTCGACGGATTCAAACTGTCCTATTTCCACTTCAAAAGAGAAGAGGCACTGAGCTCTTCCCAACTTATCTTCAAACGCCCAGCACCCTAGAAAGTTTCTTTAAAAAAAATAAAGTCTCTAGTTCCCCCAAGCACTGTACCCGTTACTGTAGCTGCTGTCTCTCCCTCTTCTAATTATACCCATGTGAGTCTATTAATCAACTTGTAAATTATTTAGAGAGCCATGCGCTGTCTTCAGCTAGTACAAACACACTGCATGCAAAGACTTGCTGAAAACCAATGGAGCTCCCAAAGGGTCTCTCTCCAATGTTCAGACAGCTTGCAGCTCGCCAGTACAGCGCTGTTAAAAACAAGAAATAACACTAAGCTTACCTCCTCAGATATAAAGATTTACTCAGCCTTTCAACTCAGAAACTCTTTGCAAGTTTTTAACAAAGAGGAAGCTGCTCTATTGTCAAATCTGTACTTCACACTTAGTGATGAGAATATTAATTTGACGTCAAAAAAACCCCTCCAAGTGCTTTCAGTGAGACTGTGATCACAATCATCAGGGGACCCCAACTTTCAGAGGCTACACCAAAAAGCACCCCTTTAAAACCATTCCAATTTAAAATAAGGAAAGGGGGTGGGGGGGGGGAGGGATTCTACATTTGTACAGTAATAGTTTTTATTAGAAAATAGGAGAAATTAGGGAATTCCAGATTTTACCCCTACATGCAGGCTGCCACTGGGGACAGCTTCAGATATTATTACTTAAAAAACAGAAAAAGAAAGGGGAAAAACCAACACAGATTTTGTGTGTTCAACTCTAACAGGCTGCAAACAGCGCAATGTTATCTGTCTTCCATGAATCAACTCTCTTTCTTCGTTTTGGTGGAAAAAACAATTACCCAAACTAATAGCAGCTCTCCCAGTTGAAAAGCAGAATCTTACTGGTTTGGGAGTGGGCTTTTTTCCCTCCTGCTTTTTATGCTGTTTTCCTGTCATCTCACTTTTCTTGGCTCCATGTATTGAAGTCTTGCAAACAGATACATTAATTAGCAGTGATCACTCCATGCTATTTCACCATGAAAACACAGAAAATTGAACAAACAGAATGGCAAGCAAATTTCTTTTCGATTGATGATCTTTCCTGTTTTTGTGACGCCCCAATGCCAAAATGCTTCTGCTTCTATTTTTATTAATAAAATGCAAACATCTCAAGGGGCAAACACCAGAGACATGTAGTGGGGGGGGGGGAAAGCAGATCCTCTTTCTGCCTCTTTTTTTTTTTTTTCCTCTCCTCACAGGGTATCAAATTAAGACAGATGCCTTTAAAATGGTGAACATAGATCATTCAAATGGAACTTTAAATTATTGCATGCCCATGTATTCAATGAGACAGGTCCAGAAGGCAGTCTGGCCCTCCTCAGAATCACAGCAACCTGGGGACACGAATTCCGAATAAAGGTCGTCATCAAGCCTGCGTGGTCTATGAACAGGCTACCTACATATGCATCATTTGTCAATAGCCCGAATTACTAAGGGAGGACCAGTCTACGGCAGAGTCTATTTACAACATTTCAGAAGGGATCAAACTGAATGAGTCAATTTCTGTGAGTTGTCTTGCTCCCTATGGAAGGGTTCTGGCCACGATGCTCACTTCTTACTCCAAATGGGAGTCTTCCTAGGCTGCCCAAGCAAACGGTGTGTGCTAAATTCAGCATTACTGACCGAGATTTAAACTAACTGGAGTTAGTGACCAGAAGACTGGTCTCAGACTCCAATACTGGTAATTTTCTGCCCAGAGTATCGTTAGCAATGATTGCCCAGTATTCGGTGGAAACCACAATATCCTAAAGTAAAAGTCTGCATTTCAGACTGATTGTCCAAAGAACAACTCTATGTTTATGACAGACAGAAAGCAGTCAGGTTGCTGAACTTTTCACTGAAAATGCATTTTTCAATATCTAGTGTGCACCAACCGTAGACTAGAATGTACTGTGAATTAAAAAATTAATGGGCTCAAAAATATCTGTGCTACCTTCATTAAGCAAAATAAATCACCATATACAAAACTGAGAAGTTTGATAAACCATGAGATAAGGTCTTTATGAGACAGCAAACACTAGAAAATACAGAAAATGCGAATGCACTGTGTTGCCTTCTGGGGTGAATAATAGAAATGTCTGGGCTGTTCTTGAAATACATGTTGTATACATGAAGCAGCAGTACAGGAAAAAACAGTACAAAGAATGTTTGGGAATCCTAAAACCAAGAAGGGATCCGAGTTAGTCAACCAGAACTAGAATAGACTAGACGGTGGACAGCCTCAATAACTCAATAATGAGTTAGCTTTGAATAAGCTGGGTTTTGAGCCTTTTTATGACTCCACAACATACCCTGTTGGCATATCTTAAATGACTAATTGGATGCAATCAATTGTGTGCACAAGAAGGGAAACCACACTGACATCAGTCCCCAGGGCAAGCATTTTAGGAATATATGAGGCATGCCCTCAAGATTTTATGGCACTAGTTTCATTTTGACTAGTAATGATTTGAGTGCAACGTTTCGTATGGTCTGTCTTTGGTTCCAGGGTATTCTGTGATAACATCACTTGCATGATTCGTTGCCCAAAGGAACAACTAAGCTTACTTGGTACATAACTAGAACATTATGCGTTGAAAATTTTGAAGTCCGAATTGCTTTTCCAGTTATAACACTGTCTGCTGTTGACTAAACTAACTCTATTCAGATGTGATTTTCTTGAAACTGAATGTAGTCAATAATGGCATGAGAACCTTTCCTCTGTATCAACTTGGTTGTAACTCCGTGGCAAGACAGCAAGGATTCTCTGCCCATCTTTCCTTTTCAGTACACTATGTTATTTCACTTTCTCCGAGCCTCTTGTGAGGGCAGTAATGAATTGTTAGTGTTTACTAATGTAAATTCATTCTTTGTTATCACTGGGAGAGGAGGATTAGCAAAATGGCACAATGTATTATTTCTGGTATTGCTATATAATATTTATTTATTTTTATTCAGCCTTTAATTTTGTAGTATGTCCCACCAAATAAAATATATGTGCATACAAGCAAAAAATAAGTGAGAATTTTTTAGCACAATGCACAGAAATATAGTTATGATTCCCATTAACATTCAGAAGCATTGTACAGCTTTATCCTTGCATGCTATATTAAAAAAATTAATCTAAATCTGAAATAATTTCTAATTTGGAGGAAGAAAGAAATTACAACTTCAATTTCATTTTCCTGAAATGAAAGCAGCTCCCTTGGACTAAGGATGTGCATAATTTTAGGACTGGCTAAAAATTACAATCTGTGCAATTATTTTACTCTCCTGGGAATGCTTTTGGTATCTCCTTTAAGGAACTTTAATGGTTAAGACGAAGTTTATAAAACACACAGAAAGCATTTTAGTAAAGAAAGCTCTTAAAGGACCTGTCTTTGAATAAAAAGATCATCCAAACTCCCATCTCAGCCATAACCGAAATTTAGAGAGCGAGGTATTTACAGTGGCTGTCCTTGACTTCACAGAGATCAGAAGAAAGTGAAATCACAGTACACATATAAGATCCTGAAATGAATGGATACCACGAAAAAGACACGGGGCCAGAGCTTAAAATGATCTCCACATGTGAGTTAGACTGCATACACCCGTAGCCGTATTCAGGTCAATCAGACTGTACACACGAAGAAGCTATTTCCATACGTGAAGATCTAGGATACATTGCAATCAATACGCACTAAGATCGCTTGCCTTTGAGTTAAATGGCTGCTCTGATTAGCAGTATCTCTAAATCAGAAAAGCATTGCAATCAATACGCACTAAGATCGCGTGCCTTTGAGTTAAATGGCTGTTCTGATTAGCAGTATCTCTAAATCAGAAAATCCTCTCCTAGATCTCTGTGTCTATGTTACAGAGGACCCAACTTCTCTCTCTCAGGCTGTAGAGATTCATGCTTGCCATTCCTGTGGTTCCCACATAAGCTCCTAGTCCCAGCAATATGGTGGTTGCCACAGAAAATTAATACATTGAACTGGGCGAGTTACTGTGTTATGAATAAATGCAATCCATTCATGAGAGACGAAGTTTAGAGTTAAAATGTATTACCTTGTGGCTTGATAAAGTGACTGACAGAGGGATAGAATACCCAAAGCTGCAGGCTGCCAAAGGTCTTTTTGAAATGCTTAGAAAAGTACTGAATCTCTCTGTGTGGTATCAAGGGAACCTCAGTTAATTTTATAGGCTCATGTTTCAGATCTGTGTAATTCAGTCTCAGAATTAAGCTATTGTGTAAAAAAGGGGACTTTCAAGCTTTCCACCTCACCAAATGACTTTCCTTGCCAAAAATAAAAGACAATGAAGATTTCTCTTTGCTCAGGGGGGGTTTGCTCAAAATTCCATTAATGCTGAAGCTTAACTGAGATATCTCAATCTCCAGCAAGATTGTCTCCTTATATTTGTATTGCTGGTAACCATTTGGTCTGTTGCCAGAAACTGGACTGTAAATAATTTGTAATTTGGCCATTGTAATTTGGTGAAATAAACATTCTTCCACCCTACTGAAATACAACTTATCCTTTAGAACTACAGATCTTTTCTGATTTTTAATACCCACCACATACAGAGAGCTATCCTTGTGCTAGACAGCTAACAAACACGTAAGTTTAAGCTGCTGCCCTAAGGAGCTTACGGTATTTATGATTTATCCGAAATCACTACAGAGCCTTGCAAAAGCAAAATATGCTTAGATATTCTTTGTGGTAGTCCCCTCCTACAACCAAAAATGCTGATAGAAATGAAGCACAAAGAAACTTTATTTTTAAGTTTAAAATATTTCTGTGGAAGTAGAAGAATCTACAGTAGTATTCTAGAAGTCAAAATCCACATATAAAAGCAGTCTTTATTATAACCCACTTGAAATAAAAATGAAACAATACTGTGCTTTAAACGACAGTTTAAACATTTCACAATTATACACCTATATCAGAATTTTGATTTTCATTTAGAGATAAAAACATGGAATTAAAATTTTGGAATGTGTACAAGAAACCTGAATTTCACTGGAAGACTGAACTATTTGCTTTGAAGATATGAAAGAGCTTAGAAATCTAACTTCTGTTACGCAGTGCTACAAATCACATGTAATTAATGGAATTATATCAACTTCCAGATTACTACGATGAAACTCAGATTAGAATCTGACCAAGAAAAATTCATTCACAATTTTTTTTCACCACAAATTTGTAACTGCAGTGTAATGAGACAACAACGTGCCCTACCTGGGTATCCATTGTCAATATAAGGCTTAACGAGTTCTCCAAGTTTTGTCTTGTCTGCAACAGCTTCCTTTAGCAGTTGCCCACAGCAAACTAACAGGAAGGAAGAACAAAAAAGACACAAGGTTAAATTTTAAAAAGGAAGCAACAAAGAAAAGAAAAAAAACCCAGAAGCTGCATACTGGAATAAGGTCACTGAATAAAATAAAAGTTGGAGGGTTTTTGGGTTTGTTGTTTAGGATATATTTTTTTTTTTTTTGGCCAAGCAGAGCGAAAAGCAAAGAGACTGAGCAGGGCAGAATACTGAATAAAAAAGAATACATTTGGCAAAGAACATATTAAAAACAGAGATATAGAGAAAGATATTAATCAAATATGTTTCTGAAATAATAACTCAAGGGATTGCTAGCAGTTTTCACTTTTTATAAACTTATAATTACTGAATAAAGTTACACCTGCTAAGCATCTGAACCGCACTGTCGGAGGCACAGGATAATATGCAGTTCAAGGAAGTGACTCCCCGGATCATTTAATGATCGTGTAAGAATTACATTTAAAATACTGCTAATGCAATACTATCATTGACTTCAAATACACAGAACACCAGGAGATGTAGATTTAAAGTTTTAGTCAGGACAGTGGTACATGAAATTCTGCTACTTCGGGCTTCGATAGCACTTTCTGACCAAAGTTATTGTGTCTTACTGCCCCACGTGAGTTAGATACACCAGTCCTGACCCTTATTTTACAAAGAGGGAACAAGGCATGGAGAGGTTACACAACATCGCAGGAAATCCTAGTTTCAACTCAGTTTTGGTAAATATTAGATAACAGTCGCTCTGTACATTATATTGCATGGTCTTTCAATTAGTAATTGTAAGTTGATTCTCCTTTTCAGAAATCAATAGCACCAACAGCTGCACTAACTTTAATGGAAAAAGAAGCAAGCCCTTTCATCTGCTTTATCGCTGTTAATCGCGTTGTTTTGCAAACAAGAGTAAGGATACTCCACAGGAACATTTCTTAAACATTAAACTTCATCAGTTTTGTCCAAGTGATAAGGGACGAACACAAATTTTAACAGTCACTAGTTCTCCTGGAGAAGCAAATTCATATTCACAATGAATGGTGTAAAAAGATAACAGAAACTCAGTGCATAGACCTCAACTTAAGACAGATAATATGTATACACCTAAATTCAATCCAACTCTTGAGACTATTTAAACATAGGATTAAATTTTTAAGCCTGTGCTTCAATTCCAGTGGCCTAATAGGAAATTAAGTATATGCTGAACATTATTCTGAAAAATGATGGTCTTCTGACTCTGTTTTAAATTACAGGAGTTTTTAACATCAGCACGCTAACCACGAACAAGCCTCATATAGAATTTTCTGGGCCTCCTTTACAAAAGAAAGGGAATGCACTTTTCAATAGTTGCTTCCTTTTCTAATACATTACTTCAGATGCACAGAACCTCAGTCTTCATTAAGGTTCAGAGTAAATTCTATTTTAAGTGTCCCAATTTTGGTCAGACAGCTGAAATTGCAAAGACATTACTCATGATCCACTGATCTACAGAAGAATTCAGAGCACTACAAGAATCTAACACATGGAAAAATATTGATGCAAAGGGTATAAAAAATGATGACTGAAAAAATGTTAGAGCTGGTTTGTCACAGAATATATGCTCTATTGGTTTATATTTCTTCATTGAAATACTTTTCACTTCCCTCAAAAATTTGACATCCATAGCAATGGACAAACAGAGAAATTTTATGAGCAAGACAGACAGAAAAAGATAAATTATCAAAAAGAGAGAAAGAGGGAATTGAGCAAAGTGCATATTTACTGAGAACTTACTGTTGACAACACGGTATTTCTGAGCTATTAGTGCTGCCTGCAGGCTCTTCCCACTGCCTGGGGGTCCACAAAAGAGAATCCGTGGTGTAAAGGGGGCGGCTGATCGGTGCCGTGTTTGGACATAGGTAAGAACTAGAACAGGAGAGAAAGGCAAGAAACACAGTTTATATCCTATTTCTTTTTTTAAAAAATAATATAAACATTGATTAACTTATCTCTTTTTTTAAAAAAAGGTTGTCATGTTGATGATCATTTATTTTACCACTGATACATCTAGATACTCCAACCAAAATCAGGACCCCGGTAAAACTGTCATGTCAGCAACTTAAACTGAGATGCACTTTAGAAATCTTACTGTCATTACACTCCTATACTTTCTTTCATCAGTAGATGTCAAACCATTTTAAAGAGCAGATTCAGTTAATAATCGCTCTTTTACCACGTTGTTTTTAGCAGAAGTAATTTCTGCATGATAGGTACAATTTTATCCTGCAAATTATAGAGGGATATAATTACATTTAATACTTTCTGCAGTTTCTGAACAAATATTTAAGTCTAAAAACTCAGAATGTTAAATTAATATGACATTTATCCAGCTGTGCGTGTGCGATTAACATACTCCTAATTACAGTATTATAGACTTGTAGCATAGGATGTCATGACAGAATACAGCATATGATTTTATTCTTTTGACCATCATTTTTGCATAACTTGTAAAGGATATTTGACCTTCTCTATCCAATTCTACGCTGTCTGCTGGACACCATTATTCTCTATTTTATATCGCGTAGGAAATACTACATTCAGGTCAACCTACAGATTATAAGAGCTTCAGAAAGACCACAGGACACATGAAGCATCATCAACATTGCTATATTATAGAGATCTGAACTTTGTTACAACCTCAAAAGACAACCTGACGGATAACCAAGAAGCTAAAAGAAGACACGGCTTGGTAGTGAGGACAAATTAGGTTTGATTTGGACATAGCCAAACACTCTTACTCCCCATGCCCCTTTTATGGCTAGCAATACTAGTGAAGAGAGCCGCTCAAGTTTCAGCACAAGCTATGCAAGCTTTCCAGGGAGCATAGATTAAAATGCCAAGGCTAAAGTTCATGCCACCGTATCCTGACTGCCATGGTTACCCATGATTAAAGCAGCATGGGCACACCTACACAGGCTTTGATTTCCTCTGTAACTGCAATAGTCACAATTAAGTGTTAGCCCAGACATCTTCAGTTCAAATAAAAGACTCTCTAGGCTAAAGAGTCCCTGTAATAAAATGGTATTTTAGTCTAATAAATAGGACAAGCTTAGACGCTAATGTTTGTATGAATCATAAGCCCCTATAAAAAAAAAAAAACAAAAAACAAAACAAAACCAAAAACAAACACACAAAAGGATTGATGGAGAATATCATAAGGATCAGTATTTTAACTACCATTGTTAACACATTGCTGTATACTAACTAACAATTTTTCTGAAGACTCTCTGCTAGACGCTTTGGTATCATAAAATCTTTTTGTAATAAAGAAGCGTCTCCAGCAAACTCCAGTCCTGTTATTTCTAGATAGTGGACCTAAAGAATTGAGTAACCCAAACTGCAACCACATGGGATCCTATACATCTCTCTCTCCAGTGTCGCAAGCTGTACTAGGATACTACACTGTACAACTGAATTTGATATCACATATCCTAGTACACATTAGCAGTAATTGCATTAAAGTTTAAGAGTTTACAAAATTTTATAATTGTATGAAACAATCTGTAATAATACTAATATTGATGAGAGATCTCCTCTTTCTTTTTTAACTCTATCTGTGGCAATAAAAACACTTAACAAAAAAACTGGAAAATCGTAACAGAAAATAGGGTGTTTGCTGCATAACTTTCTAAAGACCAAGTATCAGCTACTCAAGGAGTGCTCTAGTTATTCTGAACATTTTCCATAACCCAGTGTATTGAAAAGCACAAACATTACAGGCAAAGCACCCTGCTTACAAATGATGCTTAATTTGCAGTAAATAACCAAGTTAATTAGGAGTAATGATCCCCTAGACAGTCTCCACATCTAATTATTCTTTAAAAAAAAAATCTGGCTGCTTGATGCACTGCAGAAAAAAGATCTAGAGAGGATTTTTTCATTCCAGTTTTCAATTTATCTCACTACATTATTAATTAATAATAATTAATATTCAGGCACTCACATTTTTATTTACAATTCAAGGCATGAATTCTTTATGAATGATGATATGAACTTTTAAATTTAATTAAGTAATTTAGAGGTAATTAATGTGTAAATTCAGAATATAAACTTCCTACTTGTTTATCTTAAAAGTGCAGCACTTGTTATTAAAAAAAAGACCTTTTTGAGATGCAAAGTTGCTGGGGTATAACAGATCATCTACAGACTGACAGCTACAAAGTACATCATCAATTGGTCTTTCTGCAGTTTCCTTATTCTCTTCTTGAAGAATCAACATTAAAAGTCAGATTGCATTACAGTCAAGCAAAGGCAAACAAGAATTGTTGAACAGAAAACCTACCAGCACAAACAGCTTTTAAATAATGAAATGTTACCAGCTTTGAACTACTCCTACTTCTTGTTATCAGACTTGTGGAAGGTACTAGACCTTTGGGAGATCAATCATCGAACCACAACACAGCCTTTTAGAAGAAACTCTCGCAGAAATAACCGTGACATTTGCTCTACTGAGTCAGCTGCTCCTTGACAGGACTGTGGAACTAAGACTTTCCAGTTATCTATACTTACTCTAGTCCTGTAAAATAATTACCAGGAACAGCCCAAATGCTGTACTAGAGAGAACACAACTCAGGTGGGAGCCATCTGTGTTGACTAATCCTAATCCTACAAACCATCTCTAACAGCCAGGAACTACCTTTCAAATAAGAGTTTATCAACTATCACATTTGCCACAAAGGTACATATTTACCCTGTGAGAGGACATCCATGGAAGGCTGGTCTGCATTGATCAATTTCAAAACTTTTCGGTAGATCTGGAAAACCTCAGGGAAGTTTCTGTGATACTCCAGCAGTTTCTCTGACATCTCCTGTTCAGACAGACCTTCTGGTTTCACCAAACGTCGCTGTACCAGCGGATCACTTGGCCAGTCAAAGGTCGTATGGTACACCTCTAAAAGTTAGACACTGATTAGGAACTAAGAGGAGGATTTAATAGGTCTTGTTCAAATCCAAAAGGTATCCTAAACAAAATCAAGGTCTTTGTTTCAGCTTTATATCGTGGCAGAAGCAATTACCTGCGCACTTCCCTCGCTACTTGTACTGACAGCTGACTATTACTCTGCAGATGCACAGATAGGAAGCAGCCAAGAAAACTGCCCATCTATGCACCCAAGATAGCATGATGAGTAAGAACCAGGAACTGGAGACAGGTCTCCAAATTCTTAGACTGAACCTTAAGCAAGACCTTTGATAAGCAAGTCTCCTTTATAGCAAATAAAAGCCATTTCTTTAGTTAAGAACGTCCCTCCTAATTCCACTCCTAAAACATCCAACGTGATTTTTTTATTGAGTAATGTCAGCATTTTATTTTGTGACGGATGATTGATAATGATACTCAACAGAAAACAGAGCTAAGTCTATTTGACAGTCATTTAATGGAAGATGCCTAAAAGCATACCTGCACCTCAGAAAAAAACCCAGGACCTAGCAAAGATGCATAGCAAAATGTAAGCTCATACGGCCAGATCTAACCTTCAAATATTCTGTACTGCCATAGTCGACTGTTTGCAGGCTCAATACTGAGCTTTATATTTTCCTGCATTTTATTGGCACAGAAAATAATGCAATATCAACAAATACCTTTACCAAACAGTTCAAATTTATAATTATAAATTTCTACCAGTTCTTAAAGGGATACCATTTAAATTTTAATCCCACTGACATTACAATGTTTCTGAGACCAAGCAAGACCCCAGTTTCTAGTGGAAATCAGAAACACACATGTACTGCACCTTCTGTGACGGGATCAAGCCTTTTCCCACTGTTCCTCTCAATCAGCACCATGTCTGGAGCATAAAGCACAACTAGACAGAAAAAAAAAATAAAAAGAAAAAAAAGAAGGAAAAAGGAAAAAGTGTAGCACTTGTTAGTAACTTGCTTTATTTCCTGTAACTGTTTAGATGTGTCCTAGTATTAAAGATGGACGAATGTATTTCAAGCACATTTGTCTCATTCTCCTTTCCCAGTATTCTACCTGTAAATACTTTACTTCACTTTTAATCAGAATTTTGCTCCACATCCTAAATAGTATAGTGGGATAAAACATACCTTAATCCAGTTCAGTACCCATGAGTACTAGCTGTTCCTTGCCATCCACACCAACTAACAAGGTTCTCTCTCACTTACATTGTATCTGGAGCCTAGGACCGAAGTACTCACAGACCACTCCAGACTGATTCTCTTCTATACCACAAACAATTACTTTTTCACCCAGGTACTTTGGTAGTGAGACCAGTGAAATTTATTTTTTGATAACCTCACAGAAAAGTCTTCAAACTTGATTAGAAAGCATCAAAAGATGAGAATCTGTCAGTTCCCTAGGTTGCTTTTGGCTAATCATCCTCAGAGTTAAACACTGTAATTTAATTACTATTTTCAGTGCATTTGATTACAAGTTTTGAACAAGTTCTTCTTACGGCTTTCTTCTCTGTATCAAATAGCGCTTTCAGATGCTTTTCTTCCTATTAAGGTACTCACTCATACACTCTAAATCTCATCTCCTCTCAATCTTCTTTTTGATTAACCAGACAGACTGAGCTTTAAGATTCTCATTCAGGTCTTGGTTGCACAGATATAATTGTGAGCAAAACTCAACTTCAGATGTTATTAGGTATATTAAAAATACATGCAAGTACTAGACATTAAACACTTTTGCCTCACTGTATTGCAGTGATTCTGAATTCTTCATTAACAGTCAAATCTCATCCAAATCAAATCCAAAGTGACAATTCATCAAGTTTGCTAACATTCTGTTCACTATCCACTGGCAAGCTCTACATTTATCATTTTACACAATCATAATAATTTCTTACGTTCTAAGTAGGTGCTCTAACTGTATTAATTTGGGACAACTGGCTGCTTCTAGATGGCAAGGGCAGCTGTCAAGGTCTTCTCTATCTGCACTTTGCTAGTAAATATTCCTCTCAAATCAAGTCAGAATTCACTCATTCTGAAAGGTCAAGCTTAAAATCATGATGTTTACACTTCACTTGCTGGAGTAAAGTTTGCATTCTCTAATTCAACAGAAAGATGAATTTGTATTTAGTACATGAGGAATTGTTTAGGTCTGAGAATAAAGGCTATTTTCTAGGGATGGAAGTCAGAGAAAACTTAGACACATTCCTAGAACCGAAGCAAAGCTACATATAGCTGCTCCAAGACACTTGTTGGAGTGGTCGTGAATTTACAGAACTCTAGAGTATAGAAGAAAAGGGTTCATGTGTGAAAGACAGGGTTTAAAGGTTCACAAGTTACCTCAAGTTTTTGAGTGAATCTGAACCATACTGAAATATTCTGCTGTCTGGTGACTCCGGCGTCTTCAGTATCCGTATTGAATTTATTGAGGATTTGGGGGGAGAAACACTTCTAGTCTTTCCTGCTGGATGCAATCACACATAAACCTTGTACTGCTTACCAACATGCCTAGGAATGATGCCAGATGATTGCAGCATCCATGCCTGTTCCTGATTTTCAGGGAAGCCTTCCAAAATCCATCCCTATTGAACAAAAACATGAAACAGTTATTGATCCTGGAAGAGAAAAGAACAAAAATTAGCACTAAACATTAGTGCTATTTGCACAAAAATTACCTCATTCTGATCCCACAACAGTACAGTATTTGTTACGGATGCTTGTGAGAGAAAAAAGCAAACATGAAGCACTGATATTTTTGTGAAATGGCATGCACTAATATCACTGCCACAGAGCAATGGGAAGTTATGTATTGTAGCAATGAAATTTTTTTTTCCATGTTTCAATCTTTAAAAAAAAAGAAACTTCTATCGTGAATAAAAACAACCCAAAACAATTTCTACAGTTTTGAAATACTCAAAAGGATACCAGCCCACACTGTGTATAAAAAAGAGGCTAAACAAATCTAAAGACAGATTTAATGCCGAGAACACTGAGGAAAATATGCACGCTTTCATTATTTTCTTAAATTATACAGGAAAACTCACAGTAATGGAACCAGTGTTCCCAAAGCTAATGAAGCAACAGAGCAAAAGAAAGAAAAAAGAAAAAAAGAGCCTTTTGCTCCCTTAAGTCCTTGTTATAGCCAGCTAAGTGTTGGATTGAGCATCTTTAAAAAAACATTTACAGATCTGTGAAATACCGTAGGAGAGCTGCAGCCTCACTCAGTTTGAGTGATGCAGCATTTGAAATTTAATCCACTTCCCAGTCTGAATCTTCTGAACTTTCTCTAATTTATCTGTTAGTTGCTTAACCACATATGTCCTTGTCACTATATCCTATACCTCAAAATAACTTCGTGATACTACAATAAATCCAGAAACCATCTTTGTATGAAATAAAGAATATACTTTAATATTGCAATAGGTAACAATCATTATCATCTCCCACATAAATCTGAAGCTCTGTCAGTACGGAGTCCAAAGCTTTTAGAAGTATTTCAGGGAAACATATCTCCATGACTTCTGGAGAAGGAAATTGGGACATTCCAATTATACAAGAAAATAGAGTAGACTATTTAAAATTCCTTAATTAGCCTGGTTTCAGGAACATGTCATCCTGCTGATATCTGTAGAAAATAAGAGACTCAAGTAACTGCAAGCCATTTTTGCCACTCCCAGTGTTTGCTCTGTCGAATTAGAATGAACTGCTGTCTAAGGTCACGCAGGTACGGAGAAATCAATTTATCCCTTGGGACTTGCAGGAGGCACGGCTGCACAGTATTTTTAGTGGTATGCTAGTTCCGAATATATTGTGCCCGTACAACTTATAGATAGGCCCAGATCCTCTTCTAGGGAGGAATGGCATCAGAGGTCTGAAGCCAATAAATCTATGCCAATTTACACAGACTACAAATCTGACTCATTTTCTCCACCCCAAGTGCAACACTTTTGAAACTAAAACAAAACAAACGCAAAATGCCACCCCACAAAACCACTGCTTCTGTCATCACCACAGCTTATTCCTCAAAATCACCTACTTAGCAACAGGCAGTATACACAACATTGTGTTTTAACAACGTATACCAAACAAAGAGGTTTATATACAAGTTCCAAAGGTCCTTAAAACAGGCAATAAGCAATTTTATAGCTAAAAGTTTTTGCAATGTAAGAAAACTTAGCTTCCTGCAACAAATGCATTTCAAGGCATTAAAAAAATGCAAACTAAACACACACTACAAAAATAGTTAGCATTTTGGATCTTATTTCCAGAGGCCTCTGAGTTCCAGGGTATCAGTCAGTCCCTAATTAGAATACATTATCCATCTACTTGACACTTCAGTGAAATGTCTATTCCACCACAGAGCTGCAGCTTTGTTCAGAACAGGTTTATTGATATTCTGCTGCATTCCCTCTCCATACCCCCAGTGGCTTGGTTCTGTTTTATCACACATCAAAAAGGCCGTATGCTCAGGGCACCCCATGCACGGCTCAGAGCTGGAGGTCTGAACAGCTGCAAGTAGTATGGTATCACAGGAGGGACAAGCTCCAAGCAGATGTCACAGATTAAAAAAAAAAAAAAAAAAAAAAAAAAAAGAAAGAAAAGGAAAAAAAAAAAGAGTAAAAAGGGAGTGTGGCTTGGGAACGAAGCAAGAGGAAGCAAGACACAGCAGAGCAAGACCTGACTTAAAATATGCCTATCATGCTTTATGCAAACACTGGTCTTTTTTGCCCTTCTGACTATCATTAAAGTGTAATTAGTAACTTCACATGGTAAATTTGTTTCTTTAAGAAGCCATCTATTTTTTTTGTTCTTGATAGCAGTAACCTTACATCCACGCATGGATTGCACCTTATCACATCAAGGGTGGAACAAAGGCAAAAAGTGAGTAATTCCACGGTGCCTTTACTCTGTCTGTGGTCACTGTTCCCTCACCTTCAGCTGGAAACCTCAATTCTTTCCCACATGAAGACTGTTGCAAATACAGCATTCTGCTGTTGCCTTAATGCCAGGTGAAGTGCTCCTTAGAGACTCACGCCATGCTGAAAATCGGCAACAAGAAAGTACTTTCAAACCCATCACTTTCCTCTTCAGATTTAAGGAATCTGGAGAAAAGGAAATGCTCAAGGTCATTCCCAAATGTAAATCTCATTCCTTTGCTGGCACTACTCTCAGCTATAACACCAAGCGTACACACTTTCACACTTTCCACCCCAATAATGACGACTTGGGTATTCAAGTTCTCTCTTGTTATTTGACCTGCCCATCCTCAATTTATTTTTTTTTAATTACAAAATCCAAAATTGACACTGCCTTAGAATAATGAAAAGGGATAGCGCAACAAAATAATGCTGAATTACATGGCACATCTGAAAGAAATCTCAGCCACAAGCGTAAAGATCAAAGGTCATGAATACACTGCTGCCTTCAGGGAAACAAGTCATCACAACAGTTTTTCCACATCATCATTCAGTATTTTTCAAAAAGTATTACATGCCTTTCAATCCCATCTGAAGAAAGGAGACAGACAATAATGCAAAAAAAATTAGCAATAATAGCTTTGCCAATATGGATCTAAAATTTCTGAGATTTTCAGAAAATAGTAGACTGAGGAGTGCAGTAGAAATATTGTCAACCCAACCCCTGCAGTTGAACAACATTAGCAGTATGGATGATGGAAGAAGCTCAAACTTTACCAAATTTCCCATTAGAAAGAAACTTTTTATTCCTCACATTATTTTTGTAGGTTAAGTAAACTGCAAAGCTATTTAAAAAAAGTCACATTCTCCTTGGAAAACAAAAAAGACGGCGAATAGGCAGATTCTCTCCCCAGATAAATCTATGTAACACCACCATCCTTGCATGGACTTTTGCAGCGACAACATGCTGATCTCTATCTGTCAAGGTAAAACCAAAAAGAACCAATAGCCATTGCTGTCTTTACCTTCCCTTTCAAGGACAGCCACTACCCTTCTGAAATACTTCATACCAAACGAAAGTAATCCTGCCACTTCTTGTGTGAATCACTGCCCTAAGCTTAGTTTCTAAATGGTCCTAAAACGTCAGTAAGATTGCGCAGCTCACTCTCTCACAAACTCATCACATAGCAATCTCTTCACTAGCCTTCTCCAGTTCTATAAATTCCCTCCACAACACCAGCAGTCAGAGGTGCTGCAGCCAACACGTACTAACCCTGTAAGATGAAAAGTCTTCATGCCAGCTTCACAAGTCCCAGGTTCTAACATAATGCTTGCAATAAGTTTTCTGTGTATGCTGGAAGACCTACCCGTCTGATCCCTCGCAGTCCTAACTACATTTGTATTAGAAGAACACATAACATAGAGTCTCAGCAGAGCTGTTGATCAATAAAAATGTTCTCCTTAGAGAATGCCTGCAACATCTATAAACCTGTGAGTGTCAAAACAATGGCACAAAAAATTCTGTATTCCTACTGTCGGAGGGATGAAAGTTGTACAATTAATGCCAAGCCAATGACACCACAAGGAGAAATAAAACAAACAGCTGGTGGTACTATGATCCAACATACTGCTCCTAATCTATTAACATTCTCAGTAAAAAAAATGCTGACTCATGTTTTCAAAGAAATGGTATAAATCTGTTCAATGAAAAAATCCACAGCATTAATTCTCTTCCAAATCACACAAGGAAAATATTGCAATTAAAATGCATAGATCCCCTTTCAAATGGAAAAGACATGTACACTGTGACTGTGAATTACTATCTATTAATTAAAAGATTTTTAATAATGTCACAACTTTGGAAAGTCAATTATGTGTTTTTCCTAAAAAGAGCTGAAACCTTAACTAGACCAGTAACATCCGCTCCATTCTTGCTGAATGTCAGGGATGCTTTATAAAGAGTTTTTTTTTTCCCCTAGTTCTGCAAGACATCCAGCACTGATGCAGCGTTGCTGGTGATAACAACAGGAATGTAAAGTGTAGGCAGGATGCTATGCAGCTAGCTGTTGGCATTTTAGCCCTCTTGTCACCTTACTCAGAGTTTACATGACCTAATAGTTAAAATTAACAGCCACTGAGAGATCCTTCCCTTGCTATTAAAAGGAGTTCTAGAACCATGCCAACAATTATAGAAAGCACGGGGCAAAAAGAGCATAGGGTGGATGCAGCCTTTGGAGAGTAATGGATTTGGCTTATACTCTGATGGTTAGTAAAACTCACTTTATCAGTATCACAACAGTGGAAAAGTTAGCTGTTCAAAACATACCTTCTTTTAACCAGGCAAAGAGACTTATGTGAAAAAATAAGCATATTGGAGAGGTTTTAGAGCTACTGTTATAAAAGCCCTGAACTGAAGAGCTACTCACCCACTTGCTAGTTTACACCAACTACGGCCATCCAACAGCTCTCCTCCAGATAGCACGAGAGGACAGATTGCCCCAGCACCTACTACCTTTGAGAGATCATGTGAGAAAATGTTTAACCAAAACTATTGAAAATACCAGTGGTACCCTGGCATCTTCCCTGCCCTACCTGCTAACTACGGGTAGCACAACCAGAGAAGCTGTTAGTGTTAAGCTGAGGGGGCCTATGTTTGAGGTCTGAAACCAGCCTAAAGCAGTCAGAAGAGCAGTTTGCCTCTTGGGTTTATTATCTTTCTAACTTACTTTCATTTCTACAGGTTTAAAGATATTTTAAACTTACTCACTTAGAGGAGAAGTTTCACTTGAGATAGATGTTCCACATCTTGCCACAAGGACAAGGTAGCAAATCATACAATCACCTGACTTGCTGTATATCCATGATATCTCATTGCACTGCTTACATAAAAAATGTTGACATTCATAGTCTTTTTTTGCTACTTATTTGCTAGCACATCCAGACCTGACAATATTGGTTTCTCAAGTGTTCCTCAGCTACACTCTTTAATTCAAAATGCTACCAAAATGAACAAGATGGTACACCACATCAGTGTTTTCAAACAGGTTCTCTTGTCAACTGAAAGGCCTAAGTCCTGTGTGAATTTATTACAGAAAAACAAATACATTAAATACTACCAGATATTTGATCTGGAGTGCTAAATAACTATTATGAGTCAAAATAAAATAAAATTGCTCAGCTAAAAAGACCTTCAAGAGAAACCCAACAGACCCATCTAATCCAAGCACAGAGACTAGCAATGCAAAAGTTTAATTCTACTTTGCAAATTCAAAATTCAAAATCCAAAATCAATTATAGAGCAAGGTATACAGTATTTTGTAGAGAAAAATTGATAATCCTTAGGTTTTCTGCCAATCTCTTTATTCCTTTCTTTCTAAGGTTCCAAAAATAATTGTTTTAGTCTCCCAGATAATGAAGCATGGAGCAAGAAATACAGGATTCTAAGACACACAAAAAATGGTCCATTTGGAAAAGAAGGGGAGAGTGTCATGTCCTTACACATAATCAACTAGAAAATTCCTCCACAGTCTTCCTAGGCCTCAATCATACCAGTGTAGGAAGGGAATTCAAATAGAAACAACTGCTAGATTTAGGAAGAAAATAAGAGCTTGAACAAACAGCAGTGTGCGTTTTGCCAGAAACCTGTGTCTTATCTGCATGGCAAAGTTGATTTTATTAGTTCACAGTAAGTGGAAAGGAGGCAGGAGGGGGCATCAGCAAAATCCACACTTTGCAGTTTAGATTTGCCAGTACATTTTGAAATCCTAACATCTCGGCAACTCCTCATGTAAGCAAATACTGCTGTAGTTTAAAAGCGCAGGGTTCAACTCATCACTATGTTACTTCAAAGTTGCAGGGATTCAACCTCATGAATGTCAATGGGATTTATATCTGGTATAAATCTAGAACAATTTAGAGATGAGCTAGATTTCTGCTTCATTAATTTCCTGTCATAAAAACAATTGCTCACATTTCTTTGAAGGAGGAGGAGTCCTATGCTGTCACTTGTAAATATGTATGGGAGTCAATAATACATCCCAAAATTTTGTTACAGTAAGTCTCTTGCTAAACCTGGATTTAGCTAAAAATGCAATGAAATATTCAAAAATTACCCACATAAACTTATTTTTACTCCTTCAGAGCTTTCTCTACTGATGGAAAAAGAAGGATTTTTATAGCAAGATACTTTCCAATGCAAAAAATGGCACTGTCATGCACTCTTCTATGACCTGGCGAAAGAACAAGATTAGCTGGGCAAGGAAAGGTTTGGTTTAGTTTAATGACTTTTCTCAGTAGCTTTAAACACCACCAGGTAGTATTCTAAATTAAATTCTCATGCAACCCAGGGCTTAGATAATAGGATAGGTCAAAGTTTAGCTATTGCTAGTTCTAAGCTACTGCTTAAAGAGACGCGCATACTACCTATTTTGCTACAGCTATATGCTCACAACAGAAATACAAACACAGATGTCCGCTAGCAAACCTCTCAGGCAGGAACAATTTAAGAGACTACATCTCCAGCTATTCATTACCATCCTGACCAAGTTATGCTTTCCACAGTTCATACACTGTAATTGACCATCTGACCTAGCTTACACAAGGCAGGTCCATTGAAAGCCACTTCCATCCGTGGCTTAAGCTAAGATAGCTAACTTTGCACTGAAGCACATGAAGACTTCTTTGGCAATCATTCACATTACCTGAGTTCTAAAAGCCAAAACTGTCAATCAGAGGCAGAAAATTTTTTCAATTCTTCTTGCTAGTTTTCTTGCTGTTTCTCTGCACCTATATACACTTCTGTGCTACGGAGCTACCATCTTAAAAACTACAAGGCAATGCTCTAGCCCCCAAGTTGAGTTTGTTTTACACGGGTGGAAGGATCCAGTCTGCAGATCATTGCAGACTACACCAAAAATCATGGAGACAGAGAAGGAAGTACAAGACACAAGGTTTTCAACATTTCCAGTTTCTTTCAGTGTCTAATGCTAAGAAATTTGAGGAAGCAATTTTCACATTTCAGTGAAATGTTAATTACCAGCCCTGCTTTATTCAATCAACAAGGCAGATGATGATGATGTTGAGAAGCAACAGATTTTAATAAAACTATGAGCCTTGCAATATCTCTACAAGATCAGAAGTACTAGTTTTCCCCTGGCCCAAAGGTGTGGGTGTGACAGAGTGACAGTTCTGAAAACATGTACTATTTATCTGAAAAAAGCTGTTTAGTCCTTCATGAACCTAACACCTACTTTGGACTGGACTTTTTCCTCTCAAGAACCGCATCAAATAATGTGTAGTCCATATTTTGGCACCATTTAGAAAACGGGTTTGATCCATTAGTATGTCTCTTACAAATAATCCCTTATAATGGGCTGATTATGGACTCGATAAACCATAACAACATCTGAGATGAAAGGAAATACATAAAGGAGATTGTCTTCCTTGAGTTCAGACATTATTTCAACCAATATTAATCTACTTAAGTTCTCTTTTGTGTTAAAAGTCTGTATTTACATTAAGGCTAAGCACACAGGCGGGGAAAAAAAAATGCCACACATCTGTGCATACAGCCAAATCTATTCAGTTGCCTATTTGAGTAAACTAATAGTAAACATATTAATTATTACCTAGAAGACAATATATTCAAATGCATTTTTTTCTAACACAGGAAGAAAAAAAATAAAAAGACACAATGAGAAATAAAATTGATATCAGTAATATTAGACTCTTTTTTCCCCCCTTTCCTCAATAAGAGTTAAAATCGTAACTCAACATATTGATTTTTATATATTTTCTGTTTATCTGTTTTGTCCACTATATCTCTGCCAGTTGCCCCAGGCAATCAACAAAGCTATGCTTGTTCAGCCTTTGATCATCTCTGTGCTAGAAGATTAGCATATGCATACTCTCATCCTCCCCTTTATCCTGTTAATAAAGCTCCAAACTCCCTCTGCTGATGTTCAAGAAAGCAATCCGCTCCAGAGCCCCCAATGATTTGCCCCCATTCCCTCCTCTGCTCAGGACTCAGAATGCTAACTACTATGCACGAGTTGTGTAAGTGCTTATCCACTGGCCCTCTGAGGAGCAATTCTTACTTGTTTGATGCAGTCCACGTTTGACAGACGTTCCTGGATCAGATTGGCCCAAAGCGCGTTGGGAATTTTCTAAAGAAAGAACAAAAAAAGGCTGAATATTCACAATTGAGTTCAAAAGGAATTTTACCATGCAGGCATATTCCGGTTAAAGGTGAAGTGAGATGTCTTCTTAAAAATAAATAAATAAATAGATCTGTGAAAGTCCCAAGTCATTAACTTAATATATCAGAGAGTTAATAAGGGCATAAAAATCAATGTTAAAGGTAAGCTGAACACAAAGCCTACATCCATGCTTTGTGCACAACACCATGGAAGCAGTGCCGCGTTTTGCACACTAACACACACGCTGGACATCAAACCCGCAAAGGGATCCGTAAGAACATCACATCCACAAGTAGTCCTTCTTACCACAACTATCTGACCCTCTACTGCTTCAAATGGCAGTGGGCTCAGCAGTAGTGATCTTAACAGCTATCATGTGAGACAAGCAGCATCTCAAACACAGAGAAAATAACAGAAAGAGTCTGATTTTCAGGAGGTTTGTTTCATAGTTTTAAGTAACTCTCGCTCTTTCATCATCATGAAAGTTTATTTAAAATACATTTTATGGTTAAAGTTAATTTTAATGTTAAAGTTAGTTTATTTTTAAACTCAAGAGTGAAACGGGATTGAAATTGCATGTGCCAGAAGTGCTGTTTTTTTCTGTGACTATGACTTTACAAAACATCTCTAGATATTGGCAAGACAGTGTTTGCTATCTAACAGAAGAACAAAGTTCCTCTTCAGATTTAGCAGGCCTCCCTCCCCAGTATTTTTTCTATTATTATATTAGATTTCCTGACAAGAAATTAACAATACCCTTTTTTCCTTCTTGTAAGTATTTTCTTCACTATCTTGTTAATTTAGGCCTTCATTCTATGCCGAACTTGGTTAAACAACCTCTACGTTAGCCAGTTTAACTTATAAAGTCTAAACCTTTGGCCATGCCAGTCAGGGCAGCTGTTAATGATTTCAGTAAATGCCTTGTCTCAGTCTCATTCATTTTGTCATTATTGGTAAAACGAATACTCAGAAAAAATTCTGCAGTCAGATTCTCTGCTTTCCAAGTCAAAAAATTATCTTTCTCTTAATGATGTGAGCTTGACTTTTTATTGCATGCAGTTCCAGATATTGTGGGTTCCCATCTCTTTTTTCTAACCAAACAGTCTGAAAGGCAGGCTTATGTTACACTAAAGGATGTAGACAGATAAAATGAAAATGTGGCTGACTATGCAAAAGAATTCATAACAATCTTCTTCATTAGATCATTAAACAATTTCACCAAGAATGGTGGAAAAACTACCACGCAAGTTACTTTAGAGTGGAGAAAGCACTCCAGAGTACAGAAAAGAAAAAGACCAGTCCTCATCTGGCTGTGGAACAGACAAGGTGGCCCAGGCAGGCAGTGGGTTTTCTTGTTTTATTTATCTCTAGTGTCCCCAGTTCTCAGTGCCTTTCCTAATATCAGCCATTCATACGGCAACATTCAAGCAGGTAAAAGAGAAAAAGGGAAAGAAATTGCTGTGTTTCTTGAAAGTCAGCAGGTCCCACAGGGTGGTGCGTCAAAGCCTCCTGCAGCCCCTCGCTGCCAGAGCCCGGGTCTGCGGCTTTGAGTCTGTCACCTTCCAAAGGTGCATCACGCTGCCATCAGAAACAGCTAGCGTCTTGCTTACTTCTTTGATGTGTCATGTCAAGACAGGCTAGCGACTGCTGGGGGTCTGCTCTGCTAAGCCTTGCCAAACCAATTTAAACCAAAATTATACTATCTTCTTTCAGTGCGGTGGCATTCTTAGTCCTCTCTTTTGAGCGGGGTTTATTGCACAAAAGCAATCAAGGACACACACGCAGGTATTTCGGTGGTTTAGGTCCTTCTGCTCGCTGTGGCTCAACTCCAGTCTCATTTCCCGGACAGTTTTCCTCCTACTGTGCAGTGGCCTACAAAATCATTTTCAATAGGTTGCTTGCAGAAAGCCTAATTATTCTACTAGAAATCATTAAATCTGATACATATCAGACAGCACATTTACAATTTCTCTCTCATAAACACTCACGTAAACGTATCATGAGGCTGGTAGATGGGACTGCACCTCCCAGAAGTCTGCAATACCGGACAAGGACACATATACATTTGATAACTGCAGAACCGTATCTTACCTAAGGCACTCTGAGCCTGCCCCAACATTCAGTTTAGTTAATGGAAAGACCTGCTGCTATGGTATTTTGTTTATGTTCAGACCACTTTTCTATATACACCGGTTTAATCGCTGTTTCCATACTGCTGAAAAATTGTACTCATTCATGATTAATTTTAAATATTCCATGTTATTTCAGGGACATAATACTTCAACTTAGATGCCTGATCTGCTCAGAGTTATATTTCAATGATCTTTTCATAAAACTGCTACACTTTTTTTTTTTTTTGGGGGGGGGGGGGGGGCGGGGGGGCACCT